TATATACAACTTGATATACTATGATTTTTTTTATAATTTATATATTTATACAATCCATATATCTATATCTATATATATATATCTATTTGTACAATTTGATGTACTATATTTATATTTTATATATTTATACAATCCTTATATCTTTACAGTTTGGTACAGCATGTTTACGATTATACATTTAATACAATCAATCTATATATATATATATATATATATATACAATTTGATATAGGCTACTATATGTACAATTTACATTTATATAATACAAATTAACATACTATCATTAACGATACTTATTTTACTTTGAAACTCTCTCCGGAAGCTGCCGTTTCTGTTGGACGCTAGCTTGACACGAGTTGTGATGTTAGCCTGTTTTCTTGGGACACTCCTAGCGCTTATCCCACCTCCCTGGTAATATCCTCCAGCCCCCCCTCAGGAAACCATGGCCGAGCAGGCCTCGGGACCCCCGCTGTCGTCCCAACATGACGGTAAATTTCTCACGTTTGTGGAGTTTTTTTTGTGGCGGGACGTGCGGGAGTGTTGCGTGAGCCAGCGGCCTCTGCATCCTTTAACAACATTAGCATCGTTAGCATCGTTAGCATCATCAGGGCGACGTGTCACTGGCTGTCACTGGATTATAATCAACATTTCCCACTGCGCACTTACTGCAGTTATGAATACAGCCTGCACCAAAGTGTGTGGAGGTTTCACATCTTGAATATAAGCCTCTTGCTGGTGCATCCTAATGTCAGCTGTCTCTTTATCTCTCTGTTTCAGAGTAGCTGGTTAGCTTGTAGCTTTCAGTGTCACTACAGTGATGTAAAGGTCGACTCTGGCCTCTGTCAGCCTGACCCCGCCGTGTCATTGTTTAACACGGATCATATGGACCTGATCAGTCCACTACAATGTGCTGAGTGTGGCCTCGGAGGGGCTGGACCATCACACAGGAGGAGGCTGAACCTGCAGGAGGTTTTTGCCTCTGGTCCTCAAACGGGGGTCCGGGGACCAGCATGAGGACCAGCATGAGGACCTGCAGGGACATTGTGTTGTTATGCTTTTAGTGGGTGTGAGCTTCATCTAACACAGTGACGAGTAAAACATGACTCACTCACATTTAGTTGTTAGAGCAGATTGTGATTGTTGTGACAGTAAGGTTGTCAAATGTGTTTTAAAATAGTTATTTTAAGCACTGTTCGTATCAAAAAGCAGCCGAAACTTCACTCTTCAGTCATATTTATAACCAGAAGAGAAACTGAGAGAGTCCTGTCTAAAGTGCACAAAAATATTGGATAATGTTTGCACGTGGTTTTCTGCATTTCAGACAGTCTATGTACAGGCGTGTACTTGCAATTTCTGTTGATTTAAACTAGAAAATTCCCAATATTGGATTCTCAGGATATAGAAACATAAATCATGATTGTTTGGTTTTTACTGGAATTTAAAGTTTAAAAAAAAGAAAATCTGGTTTTGGGACAACCTTTGTTAGCAGTAAGTATAATTTTAAGATGTTTAATTATTGCCACTTTGCAAACTAATATCTCACATTTCATTCATTGCGTCAGCAGCAAAGATCTTACCACATAGAATAGAATAGAATAGAATAGAATAGAATACTTTATTGATCCCAAACTGGAAATTGTGGCGTTACAGCAGCAGGTTGTCCAAACACACAATATTATAAATCTAAACACAATATAATATTAAATACAAAGTAAGTAAGCACTAAAAGATATCAAAAATAAGAATGTGAATATATACCACCAGGATTTAACTTAGCATTACTAGTCTTAAATATGAAAGATTAAATGTAAATGTTCAAAAACAGAGTTGTAAATGGACAGTACTGACATATGTTAAAGTGCATGAGTGTAGACATGTTATCAGCAGAAACTATTCAATATAACGGCGAGTAGACAGACAAATGAAGTGAAACATGAGTCCAGCTTGCAGCCTATCACAGAGCAGGCCTTCTTAATGAGTTTGTCAGTCTCTTAGTGTCACCAGCTCCAATGCTGCTCCCCCAGCAGACCACAGCAGAGAACAGTGCACTGGCCACAACAGACTGATAGAAGATCTCCAACATCTTGCTGCACACGTTGAAGGATCTCAGCTTCCTCAGAAAGTCGAGTCGGCTCATCCCCTTCTTGTACACAGCCTGAGTGTTGGCCTTCCAGTTCAGTTTGTTGTCTATGTTGACACCCAGGTACTTGTACTCCTCCACTACAGACACATCCTCTCCCAGGATGCACAGCGGTGGAGGCTCTGTCCTCTTCCTTCTGAAGTCGATCACCATCTCCTTGGTCTTATCCACGTTCAGAATCAGGTGATTTCTTCCTGTCCACTCCACAAAGTCATCCACCAGCTCTCTGTACTCCCCCTCTTGCCCATCACTTATACACCCCACCACCGCAGAGTCATCAGAAAACTTCTGCAAGTGGCATGACCTGGAGTTGTACTGAAAGTCAGAGGTGTACAAGGTGAAAAGGAAAGGAGACAGCACAGTACCCTGTGGAGCTCCTGTACCGCTCTCCACCATTCCAGACTGAACACTGCCAAGTCGGACAAACTGTGGTCTGTCTGTCAGGTAGTCAGTAATCCAGGAGATGATGGACGAGTCCATCAACTGCAGCTTCTCTTCCAGCAGTTGTGGCTGGATGGTGTTTAATGCACTGGAGAAATCAAAAAAAGTGATTCTCACAGTGCAGCCGTTTCCCTCCAGATGTGAGTGAGCACGCTGCAGCAGGTAGATGATGTCATCGTCCACTCCCAGGTGTGGCTGGTAGGCAAATTGTAGAGGGTCAAGACGAGCCTCTCCAACACTTTGATCACATGAGATGTGAGAGCCACTGGTCGATAGTCACTGAGATCAGATGGTGTCGTCTTCTTTGGGACCAAAGATCCATCTTTTGAGATCCAATTTGTCAATCTGAGATCTGCTTTGTAGACTTGAGGGAACCTCAAAATAATGTGCTTCAGTGTCTTTATCATGACTGCTGCGAGCATTAGAGAGCGCCATCATGCATTTAAGTTTCAGTAGTTGTTAAATGTTTTTATGTAATCTACCAATTCTCCACCTGATCATTCCAGAAAGATCGATCCAGTAGATTGTCTCTGATTGTACGATTATGTACATAGTGGTTTACTCGTACAAACGTGTGAGACCCAAGCGTGTTATTCAATCTCTCACTCCAGCTCCTCTTACTAAATTATTATCTGAAAGGAATCGAAGAAGAAGAAGAGAAGACGTTTTTTTATTGGGCAGATGGAATCACCTGATGAACAAAACTCTGACTTGTTTTCATTGTCAAACGGGACAGAAGAAGTCGGCATTGTGGGAGTCTTACACCAAAAGAAGTCATTTAAAAAAACATCAGTATCAGTGATCAGCTAAATTGTTATTACAAAAATCGGTCATCGGCCCTTTTTTCAATCGATGCATCTCTAGTTGTCATTGTTATGAAGTGCTCAGCATACGGATTAGTAGAAGTTGCTTAATTTGTGTGACTTTTCCAGCTCCCTCCATAGTTGCTCTCCAATGTGAATTGTTCCTCCTTGTTTGTTCCAAACTGGATTTGTTTCAATATTGATTCTTGTAAAATACAGAGATGTCTAAACTGAGAGACTGAAGGAGTTTTGTCAGACTAAGACAGACGGTGTGACTGTTCTGCACAAATTGATAGTAAAGCGTTTATTTTAAAATAACCGAAGGAAGGCATTACACTTGATCCAGTTAAAAGCATTTCAGAAAAAGCGCTTAAGGAATTAATGTACTGCGTGCTATCAACCGAGAAGCCATGTGAATTTATGTCGAGCTTATGTGCTGATGGAATTTCTGCTTGAGACGGTGTTCAGCTATCACATGACAATGGAGAGCTGCTGCTGCTTGTGTGCAAGTCACTGTTTCCATTGGTCCGTCTGAGTCCGAGGATATCATCGTCTATCTCTGCTCGGCTCGCTGGTTTTGAATGAGAGAGGAAATAAATACGATCCGAGCAGGGCTGGGTGTCGGAAAAAACTGTGACTTTTATTATGAGATAAGATAAACACACGTCTCTCATTGAGTCGTCACACTTTAAGCTTGTTAAATATGTTTTTGTCTCAGGTATTTAGTGAGCCTCATAGGTCAGATTTAATGCTGATTTTTCTTTTGGACAAGGTGAGCCTCCAAAAGTCAAGACTGTGGTTCAAAATCACACAAAAAGTACGGACTTAAAGAGGATGGAGTTTTAGCTATAAGATGGAAATAATAAAGTTGAACTGACACTTTAAACAAAACTACAAGATAGAGCCGATAGGGAAATAGAGCGGCAACTAACAATAATTTACAAAGTCTCTTTAACTATTCAATATTTTCCTGGGTTAATCAATAACTGTTACGTCTATAAAATCTAAAAGAAAATGCTTATCAGTGTTTTTCTGAAAGCCAAGAAAAGGTGCTTTATTATCTTGGAGTAAACACAAGATCTGTATGCCTTAATGAAAGGATCCCCACTCCTGCACTCCTCTATGCCCTACTGATGAGTCAAATAACATCCTACATGGCCCTTAGTTTCCACCGACACCCAGCCAGTCGCTCCACCTTCAACAGACTCCAGTGTTTCCCCTATCCCCAAAGGTCAAGTTAAAAAAAATGTTTTTTAAAGATTTGTTTTTGTGCCTTTTATTGTAGAGATAGGATAATGGTTAGGGTCAGAAATCAGTGAAAGAAGTCATTTAGGGATACCTTTCTGATAGAAAAGGACAGCTGTCATTAAAAGTAACACATGAACACCAAGATTCCTTCAAGTGTTTGTGTCGTCGTGTCGCCATGTCGGCTTGTCCCCACCCCCCCCAACGCTGTAAACCGAGGGCAAACACTGGACTCAGGCTCAGTTTACGGCATTTATGCGAGTTGGCCAGGTAGTGACAACACAGACACATGGCCCCTAATCAGAACCCTCTTTGGCAGCAGTGGGGTCATCAAGTGGGCACCTCCTTAACCTGTTTTTCACCTAGTTCGTCCCACAACACCTCTGACACCCTTTAGCCACCTCCTTCATACCTACTTGTGAAACGAGAAAACCAGAAAGGAGCGTCTGCAGAGAGATGTTTTGGGGATTTCCTACAAGACAAAAATCTCAAACAACTATTAAACTTTTTTTTTTTTTTTTAAACCAAGAGTGTTATTTCACACCTCTGGATAATATCTTGTTTGTCTAAAGAAATAACACAAAATGATTTATTCACCGATCAAACAAGGTAGAAATCTTAACATTTGAGAATCTGGAAGCAGTGCATTATGGGCGTTTGAGACACAGTAACCTTCTTGTCTCAGATTGAATGTTATGAAGTCTTTATAACAATCAGGTGATTGACTGTAGCTCTGTGTGTTTGTGTGTTTCTGTTTCCTCGTCGTGCAGAGGTGCTGCAGCAGCGAGTGGCCGCTCTGGAGCAGGAGAGAGCCGAGTTCATCAAACTCAAGCAGCAGCTGGAGGCCGAGTTCAACCAGAAGAGAGCCAAGTTTAAAGAGCTCTTCGTGTCCAAGGAAGGTAAGGACGATAATCCCAAATCAAGTAGATCAAATAACAGCCCCTCGTTCTCTCTGTTCTCCCCTGATCCTCCATCTTTCATATCGTCACTGATCTCTCTCTCGTCTCTCCCCAGAGGAGCTGAAGAGGCAGTCCACGGCGCTGGACGGCGCCCAGGCCGAGCTGAGCTCCGTCCAGGATCAGCTGACTCAGGCTCGGACGGAGATGGAGACGATCAGAGCCGTGGCCACCGTGTCAGAAAACACCAAACAGGAAGCCATCGACCAGGTCCGCAGCCAGTGGCAGGAGGAGGTGGCGTCCCTGCAGGCCATCATGAAAGGTGAACTGAGCTGTGATGAGATGTAATGTTCCTGCTCATCTTGTAGAGTGCATACCCATTAGACAGAGACTATTCCCACAATGCATCGCTTCACACTCTGACCGTCCTTCCTTTGATGAACACAGTCTCATCCCATCCTGTCTGTCTTCTGCTGCAACCAAAAATCTTTTTTTTTGCCAAACAGCCAAAAAAAAATGGCCGTTGTCCTCGCTGTAGCGGTGTTGTGTTTTTATTTATCCTCGGCCCTTTGCTGCATGTCGTCCCCCCCACTCTCTCTCCTCCCAACTTCTCCTGTCACTCTTCAACTGTCCTATCCAATTGAGCGCCACAGGAATGAGTCCTAAAACCCTGAAGTAAGTTAGCATTTGAGCGCCATGGGGTCTAACGTCTAAAAGTCAATGTGGATTTTGAATGTGTTTGTGGTTAGACTCCTGAAATAAGGTCTGTGGTTAACACAAGCTGAAGAGATGTTGGTGTTTTGTTAGAGCACATAAACTACGTTAGGTAATACCTCCACTTGTGAAGTTTGAAGTTTTTACTCGTCTTTAAAAAGGCGGTTGCTAACAAGCGGCTAAATGTGACTACAGTGGTTGTCGGGGACATTAAAGGTCATCACGCCGGACACAGAGGGCGGAGATGTCTCCTGTAGGTTTAATCTTTAGGTTAAGGTGAATATTATGTTAGTAAACTATTTATTAAGCTACGTGGATTAGTTTATCGGAGATCGTCTGAAGCATAACGCTAGTGACGTCACAATCATCCCACCGTGGTGTAGTTAGCTTGTAGCATAACGTTAGCTTTTTACTTCTGTCGGCCACATTAACTCTTCAAACATCATAAAAATGGCGTTCATCTGTGAAGATTATCCTGCTGAACAAAACGCCTACGCTTCAGAAACGTGTGTTTAACACAGAGATTATTTTCTGCAATGATCCAAAATCCAATGAAAACATCCCAGAGGAGAATTCTCGTTAGACCTCCATGGTGATGCTACTTCAGGGTCGGCCTACAAAAATACGTCATGTGGTTTGTTCTCTATCAAGGCAGATAAATCCTTCATAGTTGCTGCTGCATAAGGAAACAGGAATTGCTGCTGAAAGCTGCCCGTTTTTAAGTGTGTTTAATGATTTTAAAGGACGGTGATGAGAGGCTGCAGTTCTCTGATCGGGAGATCGAATCTGACCTGTAGCTCCTTTCCCCGCTCTCTCTCTCTCTCTCTCTCTCTCTCCCTCATATCTGACTCTATCCTCTGTCCTAAAAGCTTAAATATCCCAAAAAGAAACCTTCAGGATTTGTACATTTTATTGGAACTGATTCCTCATTATCCTCTTTATCATCCTCACAGAAACAGTTTGTGAGTACGAGGTCCAGTTCCACCAGCGTCTGGAGCAGGAGAGAGCCCAGTGGAACCAGTACAGGGAGGCGGTGGAGAGGGAGCTTGGGGACTTGAGACGCCGCCTCACTGAGGGCCAGGAGGAAGAGAACCTGGAGGACGAGATGAAGAAGGTAGGCAGCGTTTTCTGTCTCGCTTACTGTTGGAAGCTTTAAAAAAAAATGTTCTGCAGCTGCACAGATTTATAATAAAAAGAGTTTCTAATCCTCCGAAGGCCCAGGAGGATGCAGAGAAGCTGCGTTCGGTGGTGATGCCCATGG